CCCCCCCCCGCCCACCGCAGCCGCCGCTGTCCCTTGCGCCGGCTCCGGCGGGCTCCAAGGCCCTCGTGGTCTGCAGAAGGGGTTCCGAGGAGGCGTCCGCGGCGCAGCAGTGGGCGTCGCGATCCAGGAGCGACGGCGCCACCGTGAGCGTGTGCCCCCCGGGCCACCTTGAGTCTCACGCCCGGGCGAACGCGGGGGCGTACGACACGATCGTGGTGGAGGAGGCCGGGGAAGGAGCTGTGCTGGGACAGGCGAGANGGGGGGGGGGGGGGGGGGGGGGGGGGGGGGGGGGGGGGGGGGGGGGGGGGGGGGGGGGTCGTTGGGTGGGGAGGAGGGGCGGGAGCAGGTTCATTGGATCTAAAAAGCTAATCGACACTTGTTGTTGGGAAGTGTTTTGCGATGGAGACTGCTGCTGTGTTGCAATGGCAGAGGTATGAGTGTATCCCGGCGCTGCTGCTGCTGCTGCTGCTGCTGCTGCTGCTGATGCTGATGCTGCTGCTACTCGACGACGGCTCTTCCTGCGGCGGCGTTCATTCCACAACCAGTTTCGTTTGTCTCCTCGCCCGTCTCCCCCAAAATGTAACTCACGGGGTGTTTAGGTCGTGAAGCTGCTCAAGGCTGGTGGCAACGTTAACGTGGCAGCCTCTCCCGAAGGCGGCGAAGTCGCCGCCGCCGCCGCTTTGAAACGCGCCCTCACCTTCGCGGGATTCCTGAACGTCGCTGCCAACCCGGAAGACCCCCGTGTCCTAAGTGCGGAGCGGGCGGCATGGGAGACGGGAGCATCGGCGCCGGTTCGCCTCTCGTTCGGCGCGTCGAAGAACGGTTCGCGGAATGGTACCAACGGGAACGGGCCGCCGCCGGCGGCGACGGCGGCGGCCGCGAACAAGACGTGGAAGCTGGCGCTGGATGATGACGAGGACGGGGCTGGGGGTGGGGAGGACGACGATCTTATCGACGAGGACGCTCTGCTCGAGAGCTCGGCCCCCGTCAAGCGGGCGAGCGAGACGGTGAGAAGGATTCTTATTCCGTCCATCTTGGCGAAACGCTCGGCCGTTGTAGATCGAGTTGGCCGGCTCCTGTTTGCCTCCGTGCCACTAGGTTAGTTGATAGCCTGGTGTTTTTTTTACCCACTCAAAGATGTCGCCATGTGCAAAGGATGCTCTCCGGTCGTGAGTTTGTCGCACAAGCTTTGATACAGGTGGCAAGTGATGACTTGCGTCGATCTCGCGAATGAAGATCTCTTGTACATATTCAAGTGAGCGCCTGCGCCCACACTACGACGTGCTTGAATGAACGCCGCACGAGGAGGAGAGGTTGACATGTGTTTTGGTTTCGTTGTTTGGAGCTGTTCTTGTCGTGCAGCTCTTTGCTCGTATAATGGTTGTTGTCGCCATTTGAACACTTCCCTCGCCTCTGAACTTGTACGCACACATGCTCTATGTGCGTGCTCCTCCCGTATCGGCCGCTTTGACACATGTTGGGATTTGGGCGTCTGGAATGCTGACGATAGTCCGATATCAGTTCTCGGAAGAGGTGTTGGTTGAACATGTTTCGCGAATAATTATTTCGGATAAAGAAACTCTTGGAAAGAAATGTGTCCCTGGGGTAATTCGAGTTGGCCCGCGCTGTCTCCACAAGTGTGTCGCGCTAGCAGTTGTGGTGAGTAAGCGGCAGTGACAACTGACGAACGTAGACAATCAGACAACGTCAATCGTTCACTATTCAACTTACAATACCACGCTCTCCACTCTCCACATTTTACCGTCTGCTTGCGCGTGCATCCCTTACAGGCCGGCGACGGCTGCGCCACCAAGCGACGAGCGTGCAAGGACTGCTCCTGCGGCCGTGCCGAGATGGAGATGAGCGGGGGGGTCAGCAACACCAACGGCGGCGCTGCGGGACCCCTTCCGGTGGTGTCCGTCGGGGACGTGGACGATGCCCTCACTTCCGCCTGCGGCAACTGCTCCAAGGTTGGTTTTGACAGAAAGTCGGAAAACGTCGGAATCGCGAGGCCCGAACTCGCCGTGCACTTTCAGCCTTGCTATAATCTACTACTTCGACGTACTTCTTGTGGCGCGCCCAACCAGTGTGACCGCGTTTTTTTTTTTTTTCCAGGAGGTGTGACGTCTTCTTGGAATCAGAGTGCTTCGCCGTCGTGCTGCGATTGCTTTCGTCGAGATTTGCGTCAGCAATTGTGTCCACGTTGGTTCAACGCCATCGCCGTCCTCCATCTTCAGGCGGCCGCCGCTCCGCTTCATGCAGTTTTTAGCGAGGTTCTCGCGTGCGCTGGCGGCATCATCGTCGCCGGTGGTCGGTTTTGGGTGTTTCCGTCACTACGATCACATGTGATTCTCAAGTGTTTTTTCAGTCCCGGGCCGGGCTGAGACGCTCGTGTTTGCAACACAAAAGAATCTGTCTCGTCACGGACAACACCAGCTCTCCCCCCCGCGGGCCGCGCGCGCACACCGGCGAATCTCAATCTCCTTCACATCCTACAGACCTCTCGATATACCAACACACACAAACTTTGCTTCATGCACCGTTCTTCTTTTCTTGTGTGCGGACGCCCTCCCTTTTTGGTGATGTGCTAGCGTCGTCCGGTGAGACCGTGGTGTGCTAGTCCCGGCTTTGTAGGAATGCGAGGCCAATGGTCTGACGACTACGGCATGCACGGCTTTGAGTACAGCCCCCTCTTATTTGAGGACAACCCCCCGCCCCCCCCCCCGTTTATTTTATTTTTTGTCCCCAGGGCGACGCGTTCCGATGCGGGGGTTGTCCGTTCCTCGGAAAGCCAGCCTTCGAAAAGGGGCAGGAGAAGACCATCATGCTCTTGGACCTCGACTCCCAGCAGGATGACTGATGTACCTGGGCCTGGGTCTAGTTTTCTCTGTCGTGTGTGTTGTCATCACCAATGAACGCGGCGTTGATGGGATTCTCCGTATTGACGTTGGGTGCTTGTCTTCCCATGTTGAAAATTAACTTGCCACTAGGTCGTTTCAATGTCTTCATCCTCAAAAGAGTTTTCGTGGATGTGGGTGGATGGTATTGGGGGTTGACGCGTGGTGGCCGGACTAGGGGCGCATCGACTGGAGTTGTTTTTTTAAGCTTGATTCACACTTTGTTCGTGAAATCTGCTTTCTTGTTTTCCCTCCATGTTTGTGCGAATGCTGGGCACTGCGGCGGTTGGAATCTCCTTTCTGTTGGATGTAGATTGTTGTGAAGCGGTTCGACTTTCTTGGGGTGGTCGGGTATCGGGTTGGACTACACATTTTTTGCTGTACAACGAAGAGCTTGTGATTCCTGTGAGAGGTAAAAAAGGGTTGTGTTTTCCTCACAAGGTTCTTCGGCGGCATCTGTTGAAAACGGATCCGTGGTCGGGCGCGGTTTGGGTCTCACCCGTTTCCTGGCAAAGTTCGGAACCATTTGAATGTTTTGTGGTCGCTTGCAGAAGGAACGCCGGAACGCTTGCAAGCGAACACAGATGTGCATGTTGGTGCGTGAGATCGTGCGTTCCCGCGCGGCACACCGCAACACCGAAAACTGTAGACTTTCGGTCCACACGACGCCTTTCAACCGTCTCTGGTGAGTCTCAAACACTTGGACTAGAGGACACAGCTCCCGGCATGTAACCCTACGATACTTTCGACGCCGACGATGATGAATGCAACGGCCTTCTTTTGACACCGAAGCAGGGATGCAACACCTACAGAGCGCTCATGTCGCACCATTGCAATTGCGTTCTTTTCGTTTTGTTGTTCCTGCCACCAACTGTACCTTGTTTTCGGCGGTAAAGAACTAATAAAAGGTGGGTTCTCTTTGAAAGCAGACTCACGCCGACGCCTACCCAATTGACCATTTCTGCTAGCCTTATCGGCATCGAATCGCTCAGGCCCAGCGGTTCCAATGGTTTCGTGCTTCGTGTTGGCCTGCGGTTGTGCTCCTTTTTTCTTGCCTCCGCACCACGCTGCTTGCTCTCGGGCTTTTCTCAAAGAGAGAAAAAATACCACCCTTGCCAACCTTGAAGGGGCAAAAAATTGGGGTGGCCGGCGAACGCGGAAGTCAAGGTGTGCGATTAACGATTTTATTGAAGCTCGATTGTCGTGGTTGCTGACGCACATAGACTACTTGTCGTCCTCTTCTCCATAGATGCGCAATCTTTTCGTGTCTTGACGCTTGGCTGCAAGGCCGAGAGGTAATGTTTCAATTTTGAATGGAGATGGACATCTGATATGTTTTGATGATATTGACTGAAAAAACGGAAACTGAAAGTGGGGGATACGTATGGAGGAATGCCGCATTGGCAAGTGTGAGACAGTTGGCATTCAATGACACCGTCGTGTCATCAGGAGGTCCGTGTCGATTTCGAATGTTCGAGATGAAATTGGCGCATCACCGCACGGTTGTCAAGTAAATGATATGCCAAGAGCCCCCACCCCAAACAGCGGCGAGATCGTTCGTCCTTGTTGCCGTGAGAGGTTCATGGCTTTGTTGCTGTCCTCTTCTTCCCCGTTTGGATTTGTGGGTTCGTACCAAAAAGAGCAGCCCGGCGATTGGGCTTCAACAGCACCAAGACTTTCCAAGCAGTAAGAAAAAGCGAACTGTACCTACGAGCGCGCGAGCTTGCATGTGAGCAGAGGCCAAGACAAGCTGCGTCAGTGGTTTGGTACAAGTGCCACTAGCAAGCGAGGCTTGTAGCCAGAGCTTGGCCCTAATTTGGCCTGTCACGGCTGTAGCTCCGTGAGGGGATCGCCACGATTAACAACAGCAACGCGGTCCACATACTTCGGCGCGCCGTGTCATCGTCTTGGCGCGGTACACATGTGTTGGGCTTTCACCACGCGGCACCCACGCACCCCCCCAAAAAAAAAGACGGGAAAAATATCTGTATCTTCGCAGCAGCAATGAAGACATTTCCGGGATTTTCCCATCCAGTAGGGCAACGCCCCTCGGAGCAAAAGCAGCAGCAGCGTATTTCATTTCAAGAACGCGGGACACAGCAGATGAGGAAGAACCAGCTCTCCCATCAAACGAGCTACCCCTTCCCAAGAATCCTCCGTATCGCCAGGGAAATCATGGTACTACATGGCGACATGCTCGCAGTCATGAATCCGCGTAACCCCCCCTCCGAGACGCCGTAACGAGCTTGAGAGAGACAGAGCGCGGCCTGGGTCCGTTCTCGAGAACTTTCTTAGGACCGCGGCTTCTCCTTCTTGTCCTTGTAGAGGGCCAGCAGCGCGACACCGGCCACCTTGACCACCTTGAACCGGACACCGGGGATGTCACCCACGGCGTGACCACGGCGACCGAATCCGGAGATGAGCACCTCGTCCTGCAAAAACAATTGGAAAGTGTCGATTGAGTATTTATTTATTGACACTACGCATCCAGTACTGATATCAGTGCGGGACAACAATGACAACACTCGCGGACAAGAACACAACTTCACCTTGAACGTGACTGAACAAGCGTGGTAGGGCGAAATTCGCTCCAAGTATTTTCTTGTAAAAGAGTAAACTGCAGGACCGAATGCATGTGAACAAACAGACAAATTAAGTTCACCCGAGAAGTTCATGTCATTATAGAAAAAAAAAAGACTCACGTTCTCGTCCGTGAAGTTGAGGCAACCGTCGCGCGGCACGAAGGCCGCCAGCTTCTTTCCGTTCTTGATGAGCTGGACGCGCACGCACTTCCGGATGGCAGAGTTCGGCTGCTTGGCCTCGATACCACTGCAAATTCACGCAGGAAAAACAGAGTGCACTGTTTTCGAAAAAGATTCTGAATCATAAAATAATTAGACTCCAGAACCGAAGTGGGGGTGTCCTCGATAGAGACTAGGCGGGCAAGAAGGGGTGAATATAGGAGTTGCGAGTGCTTCGAGAAGGACGGCAGTCGGCAGCACAGGGGGCAGGCAGGACAGCTAAAAGGCGACTGAACCAGCACATGAACCTGGCCCGTCTTTAGCAAAGTCTTGCGCGCCCGTACCTACTCCGAGTAACACCATGACCCTCACCACCGAGAGCGTCAATTCCTCGGACACAAGAGCATCGCGGAGCGACCTGTATGCCGCCATAGCCCACAACCAAAACTCTCGTCTTTTTTACACCATCTTCGGCAGGCTTTGGGGAACGTGTGTACACCATGAGAGAGCGTGCGGGGGAGGAGGGGGGATGGCGAGAGGCTCAAGAACTGACTCACATCTTCTCCAACACGATACCCTTGGCCATGGAAGAGCCACCGAGGGGGTTGGCCTTCATGGCGGTTACCGAGTGAGACTTGTTGTAGTCCTGGCAAACACCAAAGACAGCGACAGGCAGCAAGGAGCGAGACACAGACGAAAGATTTAGTAGGAGAGAGAGACGCCGGCCGGAGCGGGTACGGGAGGGCTTAGGATTTACGCGGCTGGGAATGGTTTCAATATACGAAGCAGTTGCCAATAGTTTCTACACGCGATCCGTCCAACAACGAGGCAAGCAGGTGGGCCACTAGTAACTCCCGGGTGCCCGCATGGATGCTAGTGTCTGCGTCATCCCCCAGTCCCACGCAACAGAGTGCCCCTCGATGCTTTTTCTAAAACGGCATCATAAAACAGATAAAGGCCCCCCTCAAGTGCTGCTCTCTGATCCCTCTGTCTCTCACTCTCGTCAATCGCATGTAGAAATTATTGAGATATACACATTTGGCGCCCTATAAAACAACGTTGATGTGCGGTTCGTTCATACACGCACCCACACCCTCACCTCAGTGGCTCATCAGGTGCGAGCACGGCGTAGCTACAAAGGTTGCGCTTGAGACGATTTTCTGTACATTTTGGGCGTGGGACATTCTTCAGACGCCTGCCTCCCTGTTGACACTGACAGCATTTTCTCACTCGTGACCCACTGCACGTTGTAGATGCAAACAAGACACACAGACCAACCAGCAGTTTTCTGTCCGTCTACAATGCCTTCCCATTACACAGCCGGCTAGCGCGGTTGATGCCAGCGAATGTAAGCGCACGAAGTCTCGCAACTTTCTTCGAATCGACCTCCCCAATCGAGGATGCGTGTCCTCTTCTCGGGCAGGTGCATGTCGTCGTCAAGACACCACACGCGATACAGAACTCTCAATTTCATCGAGGTTCGCCGGGTGTGTGTACACACATGTTCGGCTGGTTGGCGACGATACACTCAGCGGCTGTCAAGCCTCGCACGCATGTATGTTGTGGCTGGTGGAGTGAGATTTTTTTCTGGCCTTCCCCCCAAAGAAGGACCACCGCCTCAGGGTCACGTATTTTCGTTTCAGTTGAGTATACGCCCCCCCCCCCCGTTCTTGACATGTCGCCACTGCGCCTTGTTCGTCGTTTATCTCCAATGTGAAGTCTCTCCTCCTCGCTGGCCAACCAACTTTTATCAGACTACGGCCGGTACCCCAAACATGCACTGAAAACAAACACGTGACCCTCTCACTCCCCCTCCCTACCGGAAAAGACCGCGGACTAAGATGTGTCCGCGCGTTCCCCCGCTGCGACCCATGTCTGCTTATTGATCAGCTACAGGCAGGGCTCGTCGGAAAACAACAAATAAAAGCAGCAAAACTTGCACATCTCGGAGAGAGCTAACTTTAGAGCCGCACGTTGAAAGCTTTTCCTGCAAGAAACGATCAATGTCGTGCAAGTGGGAATAAAGTTGAAGATCTGTGTTCTTGTCGTGTGATATGAGAATGCAGTGGATCGAACTAAAAAAACATGGCCAAGCGCCTTCGAGAGTTCGTCACTGAATACGTGAGTAGTTGTTTCGAGCATCTCCAACTGCTATTTGCTCGCTACAAACAGAAGCACCGTCTTCTGGAAATAATGCATCGCATCGATCACACTTTTGCACGCACACAGCAAACGGACAGTGGTAGCAAGCATACCTGACACAGTACTCTCTAACTTGTGTAAGGAGGAAATCCCTAACTACGGTGAAAGGCAGCCGTCCTGATGTCCTGACCGCTGAGACAGCACGATGTTGTTGCACCTACCCTGAGGATTCTTGCCTCTCATTTGTCCATCAAACCTTACGCACAAAACACGAATGCCGTGTGGCCAAGGGCGAAGATAAGATCATGCACAGTAGCAGAACAAGCACATTCACCACTGACCTTGCTCGCCCACCGCTCGTTACGGCGGTGGATGCGGAGCTTGCGCCCCGCGCGGATGCCCGCCGGCTTTCCCTTACCCATGCTGTAAGCTGATCGTTCGTTTCCAACCCCCACACCCCACACCCCCGGATCAAAAGCAGCAACGATGTAGTCCGAACAAAAGGTAAGAGGAGGGACAGAGAGGGAAAGAGAGAAACGGGGAGATATGTTAGATAGCCGCCAGGGCGGGATTGTTTTCGGGGCTACAGCAGGGAGTAGGGTCGGCGCAGACACACACGTCTTCGCTTGCCTCCTTCATGTCGAATTGGAAAATTGAGCAAAGGTTGCGCAAAATACAGCAGTGCAAAGGCGTTTGGAGTCTACCGCTGGCGATAGATCACGCAGTCGTTTGTAGCACCGATGGAACCGTCCATAAGACGTAGCATTTACACCGGACGGACCAAGTCCAACATCGTGGAGAATGGTGATTTGTACGATAGGTACATGGTGTAGCAGACACGGCTTGACGTTGCTTTTCTACAGTAGCGAGAAGAAGGGAGCAGGCAGTGGAGGGAGTCGCACAAACGCGGCGGGCGAGCCGCCCTGCACAGCAGCAGCAGTACACAAGCGGTTGCACGAGGGATGTCTCTCACACCGCCCCTCTACCACGAAAGCTCGGATATCGCACTCTGAGACAAACCGCCCAACACGTCGCCACCCTGCCCCTACGCTCCCCCGCCCAAGCACAGCCATGCACCCCGACGAGATCTGCTGTTTCAGCACCCGCCTCACCCCAACACACGTAGTAGGATCACCATATCTAGTTCCTCACCCATAGACTTCCCATACCTTCAGAACAAAAGAAATCTCACCTTGACGATAAACCTACTTGCCCGGTGGCAAAGGTTTGAAGGTTTGAGGCCTCGGGGATGTTGGTGCCGCTGCTGCTGCTGACTGCAGCGCCTCGTCCACACACCAACAAAAACAATGGAGTTTCACGAAATCTGGAAGGCCGGTAGTTTGGTGGCTTTCTCGAGGGGATGGGGGAACAACCGTTTCATTTTTTTGGTTTTCGGTCTCACTCCGTCCGGACGACCGACGAGGAGATGGAATGACATACATAGTCACGGACGGAAGGAGTCTAATGCTGGTGCGGGGAATCTGCTATGAAGGCAATAATATTGTACATGTATCAAGGTTTCTGGCGACATTCATCGTGCATCCTCCACCGCTCTACCGTGTACCCCCCCTCGCCATCGGCTAATTCCTGGCTCTGCCCCAAGACACACCAGAGGCACCTTCCAAAGGACTACTGCATGGGAGCACACTATTCGCACGATGGCCACCACCACTCTTGGTTCTACGATGTAGATTGTTTTTTCGGTTGGTCAGTTGTACACATAGACTACAAATGTACATGTTTGGAGGTAGGTGAACGCCGCTGCTGAGACTTCCCAATGCATTTGCGATGACGAGGCACGAGAAGTCATCCGAACATCTGAACACTCTGTCGTGTTCATTGTTTTCGGTGGATAGTTCTCCACGCGTGCCCTCTTGCAGCTTTCAGCGGCACACGAGCTTTACGCGGCCGTTATAAGTGGCTGAGCGTAGGGAGTTGCACCGTTTTCCGACCAGCCACGGATGAGTTGTTTTTCGATGATGTTCGATGGCGATAAACCGATCGCTACGGCGGTAGCCCTCTTGTCGAGGCTCCCCCGGACTTGTTTTCCTTGAAGTCTTTGGTACGTCTATTCAGCGCTGACCGCTGACAGGCCGAAGAGTGGCGACCAACTTCCTCCCCAGCACTTGCCGTCGACCCTGAAGGTCACCGTGTCCCGTCGTTCGTGCAAAGCGGCGGGTAGACTTCCAAATTGGGTCCACGCAGCAGTGATCGATAACGGATACGGAAAATGCGTTTCGTCAACCACCGCACGTACTGACAGGAGACTTCAGCGACGAACCGCGACAAAAGCTTTTTGTATCCCTCCCGTGGACGCACGCGCCACGGGTATTCGCAGTGTATGTACGTGCCATTCAGAGGTGTAGTCTATGCAGTGGTGTTATCATGTCAGCAGCAGTCTCTGACGGCCTTTGAACGTCTTTCACGACGGGTTCGAGGTCGCAGCTCATGGGTTCGTGCTTCTTGAGGCGCACTGGACGTCGCGACGCAGCCTGATAATAGTCCGTGAGCCGTTGATCGACTACATGCTGAGAATTATTACCAGCAGCGGGTAAGGGATTGTTCGGGCTCGTTTTGGTGCGGTGTATTGCTTGAGCGCGACCGGGGCAAATATCATTATTGACATCGCACAAAGAAACTCTCCTGGCGAGGCCTTGCCCGTCGGTGTTCATCACTCGAGAAGGTCTGGTCCATTTCGGTCCAAAGACCACATAAAGATCATAGCTTGGGTAGGCAGCGAGACAGTTATTCTAACGGGAAATAACAACATGTAGACTCACTCGTGTTCCATACGTGAAGGTAGAAAAAGACGGTGATAATGCAGGGAAGGACTAGGGATTCTCATTCTTCTACATACAATCACACCACAAGGCACGCGGCAGTAGTGTGGCGTAAGAATCGAACACCAAGGAATTATAGATCAGGCTCGTCGTGGGTTGTCAGCGTTCGCGAACACGAGCAGGTTACGAGGTGAAATGCTAGAGGCTTTCGCACTGCTATTGTTGATTGATGGGACGTGCCTCGAACACCCAAACCTTTTTTTTTCTGCCAAGGTATCCAAGGGTAAACACGGTGGCAAGTACGGTGCGCCCCGGCTGACGACTTGCCGCTCTTGCGGACTTGATTCATTTTTCGCTTGCCCGCTGACTTTACGCACCAAAGTCGAGGACGGTTTGATTTTGGGATATTTTGGGTTTTGGGCTGCACGCTCAGATTGTCGGTGAAGGGAGGAACATGACCGCGTACACAATAACATTAGACTATATGCAGGAAACATCTCCCGTAGGGTAAGAGATACCTCGTCGAACTCAAAACTTGAACGGTCTAAACAGGAGGGAAGAAGATGAGCAAAGAACGGATGTGGCACGGGCTGACGCAAGTTTCGGGTGGCGGCGCTGCTATTTGCTCGGGGGTAAAGTATGATGAGGATGGGCAGAAGATGAGAGAGTAGCAGATTATTGTAGCGAGTGGCGATTGGGGGCTTCGCCGGCTGGGGTGAAACGGGATCGGGTTTGCGGGGAGGAAGGCAACAGGGCGAGCGAGCGAGCGAGCGACTGAGGTTTTTTCGGGTGGGATGGCAGAGAAAAAATGGTGGGAAGGGGGCTAGGGCAGGTGCGGCAAGGTCAATTAAGGTGAAACCGCCACCTGTAACGTAGAGGAAATGCGGGAGTGCACACGGCGAGTGCTGCGAAACACGCGAAGGGGCAAGCCCGGTAATGGGTGGCTTGGCTGTATTTTAGCGGGGTAGGGGGGGAACATTAAGCAGCCGGCTGGGTATGAGCATGGAAGATTGGGGTGCTGAAACGGATATGAATCGTTCGTGGTTGAATTCAGACAGAGTCATGTTTCGTGCTGCTCAGATGGTGCTTGGCAACGAGTCGCACGACCGAAAAAGAGATCCTCGCGGAACTCGACATTTGTTCACGATCGCCTTGTCGGCTTCTCTGACGATGGCGGTGGTCACAAAATGGAACGCTTGGAGGCCCCTCTGGACCTCGTCGCTGGTGTATTGGAGGCCGTACAGCTCCGAGCTTGGCACGTTTGGGTTGCCAACAGGTGCATGTCTTTCGTTGTTGCCGATCAGTTGGCCGTTCAGTCCTACAGTCTTGGCCGCTTGGATAAGCGACTTTCTCCACGAGTCATACCCATGGCCGCGACTCTCCCCTTCGAGACGCGGGGCATTGACTGCAGTTGCAAACTTGCAAGCTCCGCATCGCTGCCCTCCTGCACCGGCGGGCGGATCTGTTCTCGGCTCGCAGCAGTGCGCTCTTCGTCTCCAGCAGAGTTCCACTGCGCGCACGGCCACTCCCTCGAGGTGCTGCTGAGGACCACGGCGAAGCGGCAGGGGACGACGCTGGTGGGCGAGCTCCGGGAAGTGCCTGGGGTGCTCGACGGCGAAGGAGCTTTCCAAGCCCATCCCCAACAAGACGTCGACCCGAGCATCGCTGCCTCCCATCGCAGAGGAGGAAGAGGAATTCGCGACTGAGGTTGGGGAGGTCGCGTCGAGCCAAGGTGTAGGGAGGACAAAGGGAGAACCTGTGGATGGAGGACCAGGTTTCAACCTTGGCACGACGGCAGCCCCGGGGCCCGCGGGGCCGCCTGC